ACGCGCAAAATATTTTTTTTTATTTTTGGGGGGGGGGGGTGGGCTAAAAGTCAACACCTGTGAACCTAGATATCTCTCGAACGGAGAAAGATATTGACGCCCGGTTCGAACGAAAAATCGTCTAAAATTGCATACTTTAAGATATATAAGGTCAAAATCCCGAAATTACATTTTCAAGTTAACATATTCAGATTTTGAGTGTAGAAAATTTCTTTTAAGCAAAAGATACACAAAGATCTCAATTTTGTATTTGAACGAAAACCAGTTTTATAAAGTGTTCGTCTTTTTCTGCATCCAATGAGTGGTCCATTATTCTGGGGAACCGAAGGGTTCGAGAGTTATGGACAATTGAAGTTTCCGCTCAACGTGCGCCCTAAAGCCGGATTTGGGTGTCATTAAAACAGATTAAATTTTCAAATCATGCAAAATAAGTTTTTAGGGATTCTTGAGGGTATCTGAGTTTAGAAATTACAGATACCACCAAAAATTTCGTTTTCTTAAAATTACAGCCCCGTACTGCTACTTAGGAGGCCCACCAAGGGCCGATTGATCGCTCAGTGGGCCTGTATGGAGTTCTAATTTTAAGAAAACGAATTTTTTGGAAGTATCTGTAATTTCTAAACTTAGCTAACCTCAAGAATCCTTAACAACTTATTTTGCTCGATTTGAAAATTTAATCTGTTTTGATGATACCCATATCGTGCCCTTTTGGACGCACGTTGAGTGGAAACTTCAATTTTCCATAACTTTCGAACCCTTGGGTTCTCCAGCTTTATGGACCGCTTACTGGATGCGGAAAAAGACGAACAATTTAAAAAACTAGCGGTCGGGTCGGTTAGGGGTCGCTTCGGCGGCTCTTCACCAGATGACGGTCGTTGCCGTCCCGATAATCGGTGGGCCCCTTTCATGAGGGGCGTCTTGGCGACCCTCATGATGGGGGCACTGTAGCGAATTTTTCCCCTCATCACAAAAAAAAAAAAAATTTAAAAAACTGGTTTTTGTTCAAATACAAAATTGAGGTCTTTGTGTATCCTTTATTTAAAAGAAATTTTCCAGACTCCAAAACTGAAAAAAAGCACGTGTTAACTTAAAAATGTGATATCGGGATTTCGACCTTTAGAATCTGAAAGTGTGCAATTTTAGACGATTTTTCGTGCAAACTGGACGTCGATATCTTTCTTTGTTCGAGAGATATCGAGGTTCACAGGTTTTGACTTCCACCCCCCCCCCCCCCCCCCCCCCCCCCCCNTGGAAAAGAAGCGCTCAAGTATGAGTAATCAATAGACAAAGTCTGAAGAAATTCCAGAGGGGGGGGGGGGCAAATTAGCCGTTTTTGCATCAAGCTCCTTGGCAGGAATATCCATGAGTGTGTTGAGAATAGAAAGTCTTCGAGATCCAAGTATGGTCAGTCATTTTACCCCCGGACTTGGCCGCCATCTTGGAGAAAAGGGGTCCGTCCTGTTCCTTCGAGGTTTTGTTGGACTTTCGTGGCTGTTTTGTAGCTAAACGTGTGAAATTTGGCAGGCACACGCACAATTAAGTTTGGAATACAGAAACGTCAAGATTCTTGGCTAATATTGGTGCAATCTAAAAGTGTAGTTGCACCAGCCAGAGGTATGGTTAAGTTAGCCAGGAATGATGTTCAATCATCCATACCTCTGGCAGTAGAACTCCACCTCCCGTTGCTGCCATAATCAGCCAGGAACTCATGTAATTGAAATTATCACACTTATTTTTCCACACGTTCCTTCTACTATCCATAGATAAATCTTTTCCCATCGAAGTTTACACGATTTTAAGTCTCCTCTTTTTTTTTATTTAAATTTTGATTTTGAGCATTTAATATGGTCCACTCAACACTGTCGATCTCATGTTTCCAATGTGGACCAATTTAACCAGAATCAACCCAACTGCCTTTCAACTTGCCTAATTTGCTTTCATGTTTTATTTTCACCAAAGAAAATTAGGAAACTTATCTCATGGAAGCTCTCTGAAATTCTCCACTACCCTTTCAAGAAAATATTCACGAAATTTCAAATCAGAATATTCCTTAGCTTGCTGTTAGGAAGATAAAACTCGAGAAGCCATTTGGTAAATTCGCAAATAAAGTAGGTCAGGACGCAAGGTAAAACAGCATTTATTTTAGAGGTCAATAACTGCATTAGGAGGGAGGAGTTTTACGAAAAAAACGAATGAGCCTTTTTCGAAGTTCTTGATGAGTACTTTACGAAACCACAATTGTTTTTAGGTTCTGACAATTGGACTGAGTTAAGCAGAAAGGAACCAACCCACGTTTTGGAAAAAATTGAGTTATGAGTGGTTTTGAACTCAATCACTGCTCTACTATCTATCGCCGAAAATTCAAAGTTTTTGTTGGAGCAAATTTTGCAGAAATTGAACTTGAAGTTTATCTTTTACATTGAGTCTTATGCAGGAGCCAAACTTTAAACCTCTTTTTCTCGGTTCGATCCCGATGTGGCTTGGTTCCTTTCTGTTTAACTCCGTCCAATTAGGACAGCCACTGCCACGTCATAACAGAACACGTACAGTATTTTTTTTTCAAAAATTGAACTCCCCGTAATTCGAGAACCCCGCATCTTAGAGGATTTTGGCACAGGACTCTTTTGTTTGTTTTGAGCCGTAGAACAACCCTCATAGTTTGGCGCCACTCAGTTGGTACATTCTGTACTTTAAGCTTCAAATTAAGGGCTGCCAAAATAGAAACTGTCTAATCAACTGCAGTTCAAAACAGATTCTACATACATCTCATCCAATATCAAGACACTACCAACACACCCATGGATATTCCTGCTAAATTTCAAGCTTCTAGCGGCAAAACAGCCGCGCAAATCTGAGAAACCGCGGAGCAGCAGGACTGGACTGTCAATATCCAAAATGGCGGCCATTAGCTAGAGTAAAATGGCCGATTGAACTTGGGTCTCGATAGATCTTTGTTCTCAACATATCTATGCATATTCCTGCCGAATTTCGTGCATGCTATCCAGCCGCGAAAATCTGAGAAACCGTGAATAATCGGCGCTTAACTGCTAATTTTCGAAATGGTGGCCAATAGCAAGGACAAAATAGCCAACCGGACTTGAATGTCAATTTTTTCTCATTGTAGACACATTCAAGTATATTCCTGCCGAAGTTCCTGTTTGTCAGTAGGTTAGAACCCCTGAAAAATGAGAAAATAATGGAAATCAGCTTATGGCGGCCATCTTGGAAAATGGCAGTGAAAATACGGGGAACCATGAAAATTCCACCTTGGGTCCTTATTGATTTTCGTTCTAGGTACCATAAATTACAATTCCACAAAGTTTCATGCTGGTAGCCTAATTCGAACTATTCTGACCCTAAGCGATCCCACTATTACCCCTGTAGCTTCATTGTTCACTTCACTTATTTTTTAAGCAAATTATAAATTGAAGTGAATCGAAAGAAAAGCATAATTCCCTATTTTTCAAACTAAAAATGCTCTTTGAAAAAACGATGTTCTGCCCAATGAATTTTAGCTTGCATCGCTTGCAATAGACATTTCTACGAACAGAATGTAAAATTAACAAGGTTGCGCGAATAATCGCAAATCGCGAATAATGGATGCGACTAACTCGAGCACTAGCCGATATTTTTATGAATATATAACAATGATAAATGAGATCTGTGATTTAAGTGTTGAATTTGACCATAAACTCACTTTTAAACCCCAGGTAGACCCGAGAACAAATTTCTGAGTGGCAATCGTGAAAGTTTGCTAAAACCTGCGCAAGGATTCTATCCGACAGATTGTGGACCTCAGACTTCCTTTGATCTTTACCGACTTTGCGGAGTTTGTGAACAGTGCACATGATTACAATTAGCCTGCATATCTCTAAATGTTTCAAAATGGCAGCTGGTTAATGTTCAAAATAGCCGAGATTGGCAACTCGGTTTTGTGCCAATGGATTTGCCTGAAACTCTATGTTCAGGGGTATATTGACACGATATAAACGAATTTGGCATTATTTTAAACTAACTGGAATTTTTCAAAGTGGCCAAAAATTGGCAACTTTGGTTTTTTGCCGATCAATTTGTCTAAAAGTTGGTATCTGATGGCATTTTTGGGCCAAAAAATAGAATCTGACGTTAGATCTTGAAAAAAACCGAGATTGCGAATTTTGCCGTTTTGACTTTCAAACGGCCGCCTTTTTTTGAAAAACTTGGGCTTCTTTTAAAATGAAATTCAACGCTAAACATGTTTTTTTCGTGTTAAAATATTGCCAGGTACCGAATTTCAGGCTGATCCATTGGCAAAAAACAGAGCTGCCAATTGTTTATCGTCGCTCCAATAGTACTTCACATTGTAAGTGCAAGTGTATGAGCAAATGGAAAACTTGAAAAGAAAAAATCATCATACTTAGGTATTTGTCAACTTTCGTATTATCTGCGAAATTTTTGTACTTAAAAAAGCCATTTTAAATAATTCGTATTACTATTTACATTTGTGAATAACTCACTTAAATTATTCGCCATATGCCGTGTATTTGTGAATAATTGGGGACATCATTTGCTAATTGCTTTGTTTGCAAAATTCATTATTCATTTGTATACCCTTGTAAAATTTAGAATCTTTTGGACTATTGTAGAAGCACAAATATTTTCCATTTTATGTCAACGCCACCTTTTTTCAGATACCCATCTCCTCCCATGAGTAACTATTGTCTCGCACAATGGTGTGGCATTTATCACAGGGCATTTCTGTTTCATATTTGTAAACAGTTTCCTTAATAAGAGTTGCCACTTTTTACACAAATGGCACACTAAATAGTCAAATACTAAGTATTATTCAAAAAAGTAATTTATTTTTATTTTTGGGAAGTATGTGTGTTACTTAGTATCTACTTTTGCTCAATTCATCAATTTTTAGCTGCTAAAATTACTTAGTAGGAAAAATACATATTAAATCAGCCTGTACATTGTTTCTTGAAGAAGTGCTCTTATGAATGTCGAATCTTTGTTAATATTTTCAGCTTAAGGACATCAAGCATTGGAATGGACTTCAGGTTGTTAATGTATCCTTTAAGCAACCGTGAGGGACAAATTAAACTTTAAAATAGTTAATCTCAAGTTTCATTTTTCGCTCGTGTTTCCCTCATCCAGTAAAGTATTTGAAATGACAATAAGTTAATATTAGCATTATGTTTTCAAGTAAAAGATTTTCCATATTATTATGATGGGTTTTATAGGGCAAATAATGTGTCTGGCGTGGGATTTTTCGGAAATTCATCTCGTGAGCGGATCGGTTGACGCCGTGAGAGTATGGGATGCCAAAACTGGACAAGCCACTTTTAAAATGACAACTGGTCGCGCTGAAAACAAAGAACCCACCATCGTCTGGTGCCTTTGCGTGACAGACGATTTTACCATCATCACCGGAGATTCAAGGTAGTTAAAGTACCATGCAAAGCAACTCCTTATACCAGAGCTTTCTTTCTCTGTTCAAAAATTTTTTAACTTCAACACAAGGTTGCAGAAAGTTCTACATAGCAAAATTTCAGCCTCAAAATTTTCTCACACCCTAGAAAAACATAACTGTTACAATTTGAGTCAATACATTTTAAAAATGAGCGTGCTTTTTCTGCTTTTTGCATTTTTTGTTTAATAAAATACTTCATTCTTGCTCCTATTTAGTTAGTAATCGTTAATATAATTTTTAGCACTCCAGACGAAGCTAATGTGTCTCAAAAACCCGAATTGGTGCTCCCCGGGCTGAAATCTCTTCTTAGAAACATCAAAGAGCCCTATACAAAATTTCAACCCCAAAATCGGATTTTGCGGGGTCCCGTATCAGCCCTTAACATTAACATGGGAAATCCCATAAGGATTCAGCAGGAACTGTTCAACGGTGTTTTTTCCAAGAGGTGTAACATTATTTCTATGAAATTTACATATAACTGATGTTGATTGTGTAAAAACCATGAGAACTTATCATGATAATGTATTCATTCCTTCAAGTGGACAGGAATTGCACTTGAACATGCACAAAGATTCAAGGGGTCCAGAGAAGTGGCAGCACTGCGTTCTCGCACGATTACGGCCCCTGCGCCTTGGGGCGGAATACTAAAGACTGACGGAGCGCAGCGATACTGGTTTTTAGTTTTTTGCGAATCACGTTCTTCGCGCTTTCTTGGCATGATTCCCGCTATTTGGGATAAGTTAATGGAAAAAAATAAGGAATTTTTGATGCCTTGATACTCAGACATGAATGGTTTACACTTTTTAAGAAATTATAATCGCAATAACACACTGGCAAGGTAGTATGGGTTTAAAGGTTGGAAGTGGGCAGGAAACTCCAGTTGTAATATTGACATCATAATGTTCGAATTTTGTTTGCTGCAATTCCTGTACCCTTGAAGAGGTAAATGAAAAATAACCTTTAAACTGAATGTCAATGATGATCTCCTGTGATTTTCAAGAATTGTTTAGCGACGAACCCCGAGAAAAACACCGTTGAACAATTTTTGGTAAATACGCATGAGATTCCCCATGTCAATGTCAAGGGCCTATGCGGGATTTGTTTAAATTCGATTTTCGGGTTAGAATTTTTTATAGGGCTCTTTGATAGTCCTGAAAAGCGGTCTCAGCCCAAGGAGCACTAATTCTCGCGATCTGGGTTTTTTTGAAACACCCTAAGACCTCACTCATGTACTCAACAGTGTTTTTGTGACCCAGTAAGCGAAACCTTTACCCTCAATTAATTACAATTTCATTCCTCAAGTAAAAATTGCTCATTCTCATTAGCCTGTGTCACTTTTTCAAAATACTCCATCAAAATGTCAAGGTCAAGTGCTGTGATTGGTCCAAGTCATCGAATAAGCCAATCACAACACCTGACCTTGATATTTTGATGGAGTATTTTGATAGTGTGACACAGGCTATTCTCAAATACTGTTATCTTCTCTCCCACCTTCCTCCTCTCCNAAAATCAAGCTGAAAAATGACTCAAGCCTGTGTCACACTATCAAAGCTAGCCATCAAAATATCAAGGTCAGGTGTTGTGATTGGCTTATTAGATGACTAGAACCAATCACAGCACTTGACCTTGACATTTTGATGGAGTATTTTGATAAAGTGACACAGGCTATACTCTGATTCCTACTTTGATTTTGCCTTTAATATGAAGAAATAGAGCAACCACAGAATACCTTGATTACATATGCACCTTTATTGAAAAACAAACACTTCAAAAATCTACTCACAATGCAGTGACACTGCTCTATTTCTTTCTGGCTTTTTAAACTTAATTACATTTTGTAAATACCCATATAATGCCATTTCTGCTGCTTGTAATATTTCATGTAATTTTGTTCGAAAAGTTCAAATATTTCTCTATTTAATATTCCAGGGGCAAATTATGTTTCTGGGATGGTCACATGGGAACTGCAATTTCATCTCATCAAACCCACAAAGCAGACATTTTGGCAGTTGTGATGGCCCAAAATCAATCCATGCTTTATTGTGCAGGTCAGACCCTCACCATAGTTTCTGAATGAAATCCACCACTTCCTAGCATCACTGTCAAGTTAAAATTTACACGAAATTGAAAAATTCTAAATATCGCTCATTTTAGTTTTTATCAGTACGCGTTTAGGCGGCTTGTCTGGCTCTTCATCATCAGCAGACCATAAATATTGACTTGTGAATCTGAATGCATTTTCACAGATTGTCTGATTTTTAACATCACCGGTGTAATGATATTGGTTGTTCACCGCACAGAGAGGGGTGTTTGAAAAGAGGATATTTTATCCCTTACTTTATTATAAACTAGCAGGAAACCTGTGTTACGCACTGGAAACCCCCCACAATCAGTAATCACTGTGATTAGTGATCAGTTACAAAATTGTGTCTCTAGATTTTTATTTACTTTTTCAAAATTGGCAAGTCGTACTTTTTTTTTTTTTTTTTTTTTTTTTTTTTNTCTGCTTTCTCCCGCACTGGATTGAGGGGGAACCGAAGTGCCCCCAGATCCGGCGAGCCCCGGGGGGGTTTTCCAGGCCCACTCCCAGGTACCAGATACCAATCGCGGCCCGGTCCGAGTGGAACGTCCCCGGGCATCGCTGTCCGGGGACCTCGGTCCGGGAGTGTGAATGGTTATGTGGGTTTGGCCTATGACGGTAGACCCGCCAAACACTAACGACACTCCCCTTGGGATGCATCCGCACTACGCATCCCCTTTTGTCCGAGTTTAATTCCCACCCAACGGTCAGCCTACGGCCATTACCTCGTCAGGCGAGAGGGCCCCCCGCAGCAGTGTCCAGCCGGACCCCACCCTCATAGGAGCACCCCGTTGCCTCCGGAGTACCTAACCCCCGCCAGGAGGGATTTAAACCTCCCAGCAGCTCTGAGGATGGGAATCCGTACCCCGAGGGGTGGCAAGTCGTACTGCTTTGATAAAAATGCAGAGATTAGTGGTATTAATTATAGGATTTTTCTTGTAATAGGTATTTGCAAATGTATTGTATTAAATCATTATTTAACCCTTAGATGACTAACCGGGTCTCTCGGGCCCGGCGGCTTTTTATTTTTCGCGCTACGGCGGCTGTAATTAACCTAGGAGTCTGTCCTTCACAAATAGCTCTACAAATATCCTTAAAAACATCATTCTTGAAAAAAAAAATGTTTTTCAATTTTTTTTTTTTCATGTCTACCCCTAGAAAGACTAACCGGGGCTTGCAAGGCCTGTATTGAGAATATATGGTAATTTGATGGCTACAATGCTTTTTTCTCTATTTTTGGATGAATTTTATGATTTTCATACTTTGACTTCTATAACCAAGGTCCCAAATTTTTTTTTCACCCATTGGCTGCCCCCCCCCCCAGTCCCCCTAAACATCCCTCTCCTCTCCCCAGTCCCTTCAGATCTAGAGATCTTTCATTGTAAACTTATTTTTATATCTTTTTTCAGGATTTGAGGAAGTTAAATTGAAGGAGCATTATTACCCCTGTAAGTATACTTGAATTTGAGAAGGAGAGGGCAACCTTGCCCACTCTCCCCCCTCCCCCTCCTTCCGGTAGCCAAAAAAAGTAGTACCTTCCGATGTGTTTCTTTCAAAGTTTTGCACTTAGAAGGTTTATTTTTTCATTTCGTGAAAAGAAAAGAAAAGTCTAAAATGTATTCCTGTACTATTACTACTAATAAGTTGCTCTAGTGGCGCTTCTGTGTGCTCTGCGACAGGTGTCGCAAAACTTTGAAAGAAACACATCGGAAGGTACTACTTTTTTTGGCCACCAGAAGGAGGGGGAGAGGGAGGGTGGGCAAAGTTGCCCCCTCCTTCTCAATTCAAGTATACTTACAGGGGTAACAATGCTCCTTCAATTTAACTTCCTCAAATCCTGAAAAAAGATATAAAAATAAGTTTAAAATGAAAGATTTCTAGATCTGAAGGGACTGGGGAGAGGAGAGGGATGTTTAGGGTGGCTGGGGGGAGGGGGGGCAGCCAATGGGTGAAAAAAAATTTGGGACCTTGGTTATAGAAGTCAAAGTATGAAAATCATAAAATTCATCCAAAAATAGAGAAAAAAAGCATTGTAGCCATCAAATTACCATATATTCTCAATACGGGCCTTGTAGGCCCCGCTTAGTCTTTCGTGTAGGTAAAAGCGGTCAGTCATCTAAGGGTTAACGGTCACTGTTTTTTTAAAACCAATATTGGTAAAGTTCATGCCCACCGGTACTTGCCAGGTGATCACTGTCTGGTCCGTAAAGCATATAATTGAGACGTTCATATCATCCTCACTTATTTAACTTTATTAGTAATAGTCCAGGCAAATAAGCCAGAAAAGGGGCCATAGCCTGCAAAAATCCCGGGTAGGAATGTTTTCATTGATTCCTATGTAATTTTTGACGCTGAATCCGAATTTCAACTTTGCACCAAAAAATTCGGACTGGAAAGTTGCCAAATTTGGCAAAAATGGCCTAAAATCGGCCTTTTTTCCGGATTATGGCCTATAACTTGCCAAAAATTGACTTGATGATAAAATTAGTTATTTTCAGAAATAAAGCTCGTTAAATTTCCTATAAAAAGTTCTTTTACACTTTTTTGCTCAAGGCAAAATCAAGCGTGCTGGCGGGCTCCGGACTTTGTAAAATGTGCGAAAATTGCGCATACTGTAATGTGTTGGGTTCCGTATTATTTACATCAATTCATTGCACTAAGTGTAAATTTTATCATCTTCACTTAATTCGTCCAGAAATTACTTGTTAGACGATTTTTAAAGGAGACATCGGGCAAAAACCGCGAAAAACGCAATTTTTGCTCATTTTCTCAAGTTTGGTGCCTGCCAGCGCGCTTGATTTTGTCCTAAGCAAAAAAACGTTTCGGAACTTTTTTTAGGAAATTTAACGAGCTTTATTTTTGAAAATATCTAATTTTATCGTCAGATCAATTTAGGCAAGGTCAAAATCCGGAAAAAGGCCGATCTTAGGCCATTTTTGCCAAATTTGGCAAGTTTCCGTTCCGAAGTTTTTGGTGCAAATTTGAAATTCGGATTTAGCGTCAATATTCACATAGGAATCAATGAAAATGTTGCTACCCGGGATTTTTGCAAAAACCGCAAAAAAACGCGATTTTCGCTCATTTTTCAAAGTTTGGTGCCCGCCAGCACGCTTAATTTTGCCTTGAGCAAAAAAAAAGTGTAGAAACTTTTTCATAGGAAATTTAACGAGCTTTATTTTTGAAAATAACTAATTTTATCGTTAGATCAATTTTTGGTAAGTTACAGGTCATAATCCGGAAAAAAAGCCGATTTTAGGCAGTTTTTTCCAAATTTGGCAACTTTCCGGCCCGAAGTTTTTGGTGCGAAGTTGAAATTCGTGTTCAGCGTCAAAAATTACATAGGAATCACTGAAAACATTGCTACCCGGGATTTTTGCAGGCTCTTTTCATTATTTGCCTGGACTAAAAAGTTTTCATGTCACATTATTTTTAAAATTTTTTTTAATTTTGTCCAGCTATATTTTTTCATCTTCCTACAATTTATAGGATATTTTGGCAGTGAAGGAGAGTCTATTAAGCATTACGTATGTAATTAAAAAGGAGGGTGGGTTTGGTTGCATAGTAGTGTTATATGGGAAAGGGGTTTCATTCAAAAATGCCGGTGAAGTGTGTTCCGCATTTCTAATGGCGATTTCAAAAAGAGGATAAGAACGACACAAGGGGAGGTGTACAATATTTCTCGCCGAGATATTTGCGATCAATGTTTAGAATAGGTCTGTTTTCAGTGAATCGTGTGCACAGATTGAAAACTCCTAGGGAACCATACTTGTGATTCTAATATTTCTTGGAAGGAGGGGGGGGGAGTGCTGCGCGCGTAGCAGCCGACGGGGCCAATCCGCGACCTTTAATATCGAAGTTAGCAATTTTTCTCGAAAGTTTTGCAATGTTGAACATTGGAATCACAAGTTTAATTCCTTGGGATTTTGTAATTAGTGCGCACGATTTTTTGAAAACAGGGCTATTTTAAATTTTGGTTGCGAATATCTCGGTGAAGAATATCGTAAAGACTTCCATTTTAGCTCATGAATTTTCTATTTTTTTTCTTGAAACTCTCATTCAAAAATTTTGATTTTGGGTCCGCCCAGCAGCCTGGGAACGCTGTCTCCGACATTTCAAGTATGCCCAAAAGCAGTTCATTTCGTCCTAAGAACAGTGTATCATTTCATTTAGCTGAAAGCAACCGATCAAAAGTTAAAGGGTGGGGGGGAGGTGAACTGTTACAAGACCATGTATAGATTGTATTCGATAGTGGTTCAATGTATCGCTCGGTTCAAACAATAGAACATAACCTCAAACGAAAATTTTAGGATTTAAGTAAGATAAGCTAGAAATGAGAATACTTATACCAATTTCACTTTTCATTGCCGTTTTATTCTCATAAGAATCAAAAATCTATCACTAGAAACCCGTTCCCTCAGATTACTCAATTGACTTTTGAGGCTATGTTTACATGTTGAACCAATCGATATCGATACAATCTCACGTGTTTGATGTGCAGCTGCGTTTTCCTAACAATGTATTTAAAAAAAGCTCCCCTCGTCCGAAACAAAGACGTCCAGATTTTCACGTATCTAAGAGGGTCACCTGGAATCGGATGCTTAAGTCGGAACTCGCAAAAATCGTATGCAAAATTAATCAGCTGTCCTCCAGCGCTCGACGCCAAACTCATTTGATCTCACTCGTACTCTCTCTCGCACCCATTATCCTTACGAAAAAAGTGGCAGCTACCGGCCGCGATATCCCGTGAACCGGCGGGCGGATCTCGAAATCCTCCCTTATCCGGCGCCTGGGGGTCGAGAGAGATCCCCGTGCGGAATTTCAGGGTCATAGGATCCACTGTACCCGAGATCCGCCGATGCGTGAGGCAGTCAGTCAATCAATGTGAAGTCTCTTTTATTAGTACAGATTGATGGCTGAAATACGAATCCACATATCTCTCTACGTTGCAAACTTCCCACATATCTTATT